CACCTACAGCGCCTAGGACTAAGCTTAGGGGAGGGGAGTGAAACTCCGGAGTGGGTAAACCACGCACCGTGTGGCAAAAGTTGGAGTGTGTTAGACCACAGGGAAGTATTTGGAGCAAGAATCTGGCGCAAGCTCCCAAGGATTCCTTCTAGCGCAGATTCCATCTCATGCTCTCTTATCTTGAGTGAAATAGCCAACTTTTTGTTATTCTCGTTATGTCTTGAAGTGACATTTTTGTCTGGAACTAACAATAAGAATCAAGGGTGGCACCTAACCTCCCTTCAAAAAGCCAGAAAGTGTCGGGTGCAGACCAAACACCACAACTGACGACGGCCTCCAAGTAAATCTGGTTAGTAAGTGGTTCAGGCACTATTGCACTATTACATCTCCAGTAGGGGAGAGAAGCTTAGAAAATCAGAAAATATGCGTTAAACAGCACGAATGTTAAAAACCAGTGTCATATTCGTGATCAGGGCCCTCGATAACCCCCATAGCAGAAGTTTCAGCGAAAATTATTTTTTGACCCATCTCGGCCCCCACTGGGGTTGTAATAGTGCAATAGTGCCGATTGCTTAATAATCAGATCCAGTCTAGTACCTTCCCAAGAGAAGCCCGGAAGGAAAAAAAGAATACTCAGATACGCAGTCTTTGCACTGCTGTCCCAAAGGGCTCTCGTCTACGTTTGGTTACAGAGCTTGAACAAAATTCAGAAGCAAAGCGAGACTTATTAAGCCAAAGGTTGTTGTCTGACTGACCAGGAATCGCAGAGGAAGACTTGAATATAATGCAAAAACAAAAAGAAACACCAATATGCCAGAAAGTCAAACCTTCATTTGAATTGAACGTGCATCACGATGTGATGTACGTAATGGGGGAAATGTGAATTTACAGACGACAAAAATTGTATGACGGACTACCTGCACGTTGGGAATTCGTCGCTGGAGAGTTAAACGTTACCTTAAGTATGCAAATCTACCTAGGTCTATTGATTTATTTATTTATTACATGCGCAAGCACATGTCATGGTTGAAGATAAAAGAAATGACAGCAAAACCAATGAAACAAACAGAAAAAAAACATGATGGGAGCATGTCGCACTGGTGAGTGGTGTTTTGGGATAGATTTCACTAGGAAGGTCTTTCAGGGGTTGCAAAGCCTTTTCAAAACGGTCCTTTGCACCATGGGGGCCCTACAGAACCACGGTTACTTTTTCCTAAACGGACTATCAGATTAAAAGGTAGGCACCTGGTTCGTGTTACTCGTCGATAATTTTTGCATTTCAGCACCGCTTTGACGTTTCAAAATTCGCGCAAAAATAGAAATTAGCATGAACGAGGACTGCCATAATCAGGACCGTCAGTAACCCTACAAATAGATTTTGATCAAAAATTAGTGAAGAAGTTGTGACACCACAGTGGCGCCGTGCTGATGTCACAGCTTTTTCACCACTTTTTCAACTCCTCGGAAAATCGTGATTCTATCTCACCCATAATTCGCTGGCTTGGGATCCATCGTTCACGATAAGAACGATAAGAACAATAAAATTGCATAGGTTCTCGTAAAAAAATCGAAAAACCGAAAGGGATACTACTCAACCTGTTAACCAGCCGACATCATCATTACAATGCTGACTAACGGGAGTTCTTCCATCAGGCCGGACGCAGGACTTTGCGATCGCCGCGAGTCGCAAAGTCTGAAACATCGGCCAGATGTTCTCCGTATGCGTCACTAGTATCTCTTTTGCGGTCCGTTTTTGAATTATTGCATTACACATCTCACACTTCTACTGCATCCTATTCTGTCGATCGATCTTGTTCTATCGATCGATTTGTCTCTACTCTCCAAATCGCACGCTTTAACCCGATTCTTTCATTGCGTCGCCTGATACGTAGCCGCCAAGGCCAACTTCTTTCCATGCCTCGCCTTTGGCTCCGCCCGAATTACCTTCGATTGTCCATAGAGTGTGGTTTTTGTAAGTTTGTTTCTCTTCGGAAACCGAATCTTTGTGCGTGAAACTTTGTATGTTGTCTCTAGTGATCACAACTGACATATGCATGTTGGGAAAGAGTGCAAGATTTTTCCGGGAAGGATTCCTTCAAGTTAGCGAGTCTACTGTGAGATCGACACAGAAAAGTAGTCTTCGAGTCACTGTGCATCAAGGCGAAAGCACAGACTAGGAGAAGACAGAGCGTAAGAGGGGTGAGAGCGTTGCATCGCAGACAACAGCGAAAACCTTTAGCAGTTCATACCGCGTTCTTCGCGCATTTTAGACCGCAAGGGCGACGGGCGACACAAGACTTTTAAGAAGATTCTCGTCTTTTCTTTTCCTCTGTACCCATGAAAGGGAGCGGTTTGGATTTGTGGTTGCTACCCTCTGAACAGCTCTATTCTACCCATTAACACGACTTGATCCACAAGAATTTACATAGCAAAGGTGCCTTCGAGCCAATCGTCTCATCACGTGGCTCTCTCCTGGTCTGAACCTTAGCAGTTCATCAGGGGGAATTTGTTATCAGCTCAAGCGCGAACCTTCTCACCGTTATCAAAATTTTTATGCCCCGTCACAAGAACATGGTAAAGCGCTTGTTCACTCAATAATTCAGGAAAGGAAAAACTGGGAACTTTCAATTCGAGACCGGCTCCTTATTGCCGTTTACACAGCGTTTCACTGGAAGAGAGGATTATAAGGGTTGCTCCCCGTTAGCATTTTTCCAACGATAGCGCTGCGCTTACGAATCTTGGAGGAAGGGGGTTTCTGGGGATTTCGGAGGGGTGGGCGGAGTAGCGATGGTGAAAAAATTGCGCTGATCTCGACAGATGAGCAGAATTTGCTGCCTGTGAGCATACCCAGCAACTTCAAAAAATTTTTCAGAAAATTCCAGAAAAAAAAAACAGAACACACCCCAACTCCTCCCTCAGAAAGCTCTGAATGAGCGAGGCTGGGGGGGTCAACGTGTTGCAGGTTCACGCCGAAAATATAGACCTCAGCGATTGAGGCGGACGGAAGAACCCCCTTAGGACTTGGAGATGTAAAAATTAGAAATTGAAATTGGGCCTATCGCAATATACGGGACATTACACTGGCAATGCATTTAAAACCGCGTTAAACGTCTCTTTTTTCACAAGAGTGCTGGGTTGTGAACAAAACTTTCGCCCCAGGCGGGACCAGAACCCGCACCTCCCGCTTTTAGATAAAGGCTTTGTTCTAGTAACGTGGGGCGAAGTTTTTGTTGACAATCGAGCATTGTTTGTGAAACTTCGCAAGGCGAACTGCGGCCAAAAACAGCAGTTAACGAACAAAAACAAGTCGTCTCTTTTTTGTTAAAAATGGCACTCATCCTTTGGCAGGGGAGGCGAGACTCCAGCGTGTGCGAGCCATTTATTGTTCCCAGAGTTCTGCCTCCTCCTAGGCTTAGTCCTAAAGGATACCTCCGTATCTTGCGATAGCGCCTGAAATTGTCCATAACGTGATATCTGACCCCTGGCCACGATTGGTGGTGGGGAAGCTACCGGTCGAAATACTTTCTATGGAATTCAACACAAGTATAGGTTTTATAAATACTTTATTAGGAATTGTCTGTGTACTACGGCCACCTGAATGGCGCTTTTTACGTGATTCGTTGGGCTTTCCGGTTGTGGGGTTTATGAGCATCCACAGCACGATTTGATAGCGTTCCAGTATCCAACAGTGCCGGAGATCTTGCATCCAGATGGTCCACCGTTGTGGAGGCGAGACATCACTTGACAGGCTCCTTCACCAGTTGATGCACATCCACCCTTGTAGCGGTTGATGTACGCCTTAAATAGTCAAATAGGATCTACTAGACTTTCGTATTGCTGTGATCAACTCACGTTCACGCATTTAGTAGAGCAGTCGTAGTCGTCAGCACATCTCTTCCATGCGGTCGTTAGGTCTTCACCGCTCTTGCGGCCAGGCGTGCCGCAGTCCTCGTAGTAGGGCATTTTGATCTGAAAGCATCAGCTACAAGTTGAGGAGCAAAACCCATCAGGTGTCCATCCTGGTACTTGAAAGGGGAGGAGGTCTCATCCAATAAGGGGGGGGGATATTGCGGTTCAAAGCGTTCAACGCGCTCAAACTTAAGAAAAGCATGCTCTTTTGTTGCATGCTCTTTTCTCTTTTTTTCAGGACCAAGCCTTTGAGGTGAGAGAGGAGCTTTGGGTTTGTGACGAGTCATCTCCCCCCCCCCACCGGGAGACTTCCTCCCCTCTTTAAGGCTTATTACTAGCTGCTTGAGTTAATATTCCTTTTCATAGAAGGTCATGTCATCCAGCCCTGGAAAACATACACTACACAAAAAACGTGTGCTAAGTGAGTTGGGGGAACCACGCGGCGGCGTCGTTTCTCAAATGCAATGGGACTAAGCCTGAGCTTAGGAAGAGTAAGCTGTGAACATTATGATTTGTGATTGACTTTTGGCACATTTGAGCCTCCTTCTAGGCTCAGGCTCAGTGCCAGTGCGTTTGACAGACGTCGCGCCGGCCGCGTTCCCCCCCCCCCCAACTCACTTATCAACAGGACCTGAAGAAATGCAGTAAGAATTAAGCTGAGTTCGCAACTTCAAAGGAATTGAGCCAAATTGGCATCCACAATATCCCTCCCCTCACTAGATTAGACCCCTGATAGGTTTTGGTTGCCTAGGCTTACCTGGTAATAACCACATGACAGCGATCCGACGTCCATGTGGCATCCGACGGGCTTGCAACCGGACTCATGGAGACAGATGCAGTGGATGCATGTGTCAGCCGAAGCGACGTACACTGTAATGTCGTAGGATGTAATTCATTCGGTTAGAGAAATAGTTCAAACTTTCTACTAGTAGTATTCAAAAGGTCACAGGTCAGAAACGTACAGAGGGTGGCGGCGAGAAGAAGCTTAGCGATCATCTGTGCTGAGATGATTGCGCCAAAAACAGTCGTTTTATACCCATGAAACACGCGATCTGATAGAAGAAGCTGATAGCGAAACTATCAACGTAAGTGGCCAACGATAGCACAATTGGTTGCGCACAGCTTTAGAACACGCGATAATTTTTTCGCCGATCAGAAATCGACTTGGTCCAAATGTCCACTAAAAATTTCATGCAGTTTTGGAACAAAGGGCAGAAATTGGAGGGTC